ATTCGCCTTTCTATGACAAGGTCCCTTCAAGAGGCAGACTTTGTGAGGGTCTCATAACCAGGCTGGCTTCATGCCGTACAACTCTGGTCCTCCTGCTTCTGTGTGCTGGTTCATTTGTTAGCCTGACACAATAGCTGAGAAGGGGATCTCATCTGAGTAGCGGCGTCCCGCAGACTAGCCTAGGAGAATGTCTGTGTGGGAATTTCATGGCTGTTGATTGCTGTGGGCAGTCCTATTCTTCTGCAGGTGGTTCTGGAAAGTATAGGAAAGACAGCTGAAAGTGGGCCTGGGAGCAAGTCAGTTAGCATCTTTCCATGATTCCTGCCCCAACATCCCTCAATGATGGACTTTTTTTTAACATACCTATTTCTTCTTTTATTTAATACCCCCAGCACACGGGTTTTCTCTTGTAGCCCTGGTTGGCCTGGAACTTGCTCTGTAGACCAGGCTGACCTCAAACTCAGATTTGCCTGCCTCTAATAATGGACTCTCATGGGAACATGTAAACCAAATGGTAAATCCTCTCCATCCTAAGTGAGCCAGGACCCTCTCATGGGCTGGGATATAGGCTCACAGTTTCTGAATTTGAAAGCCCTCCCACCCCCCGCCCAACCCACTCCAGCATTTGTCTTTCTCAGTTCTTTGCTAAGCCATTTTTTCATAAGCTCCTAAGGGCAGGGCCCCCTAGTGCACATCTCTTGTATCCCAGTTCTTCAGGTTCTAGAGCAGTGCTTCTCAGCCTTCCTCGGGCTGCGACCCTTTAATACAGTTGCTCATGGTGACCCCAGCCCTAGTCACTACTTCATAACTGTAATTTTGCTGCTGTTATGAGTCATCATGTGAATATCGGGCCCACAGGATAGGAACTGTTAGTCCAGAGTTCTCCATGTCTCCCAGAACCCTTGCAGTGAGCTGGGGTGGGGCGCGGGGGAGGGAGGGGAAAACTCTAGAGTGCTTGGCACAGCAGAACCCGCAGCCCTTTTGCTGGCGTTCCAAGCTACCACTTCTCTTTTCACTATTTATAAGGGTGGAATGAGAAGGTAAACATGGGATAGTCATGTAAGGGGAGGAGAAAAGATCCTCTGTGACACTGGTTCCTAAGGATTTCTGGGCTAGTGTGAACAGTTTGCACTCCCTCGCTAGGCAAGACTGGGAGAATGCCACCTGCCTCCTGCCATAGCTGGTCCCTGTGGCTCATAACTGGGAGTAGCCCCACGCTGGTCTGGGCAGAAGTAACTAGAGACTTGATAGGTGTGTGTGTGTGGGGGGGGGACGGACTATTCTCAAGGTGCCAGCCAGCCCGGGCAGATGTTAGTTGACTATTGCCTTGCAGACCTGTTCAGTTATTTCCACCAGGCAGAGGTCCTGTTTTTCCCGAGACTGGCCGTAAAACCTGGCTCTGCACCTCCCTGTCACTGCACTCCAAGTTAGAAAAACAGATGGAGCCTGATTCCATTGCCCTCACCTCTGCCCCAGCTGTTGCCGTGGCATCCTGCTCCAGCTGCCCTCCTCAAGCTCGTGGTTAGGGTGCCAGGTGCCAAATCCCAGCGGCCAGAAGGAATCTAACCTCTTCTCACTGTCCCACACAGATCCTTGAGGATTTGGGAGACAGGCCTGTTGGTGCCGTGGTTAGTGGTGCAGTGTGGCAATTCCAGGCTTGCCTTCTAGAGCGGCTATTTGGCCTGGGCAAGAGCATGTTTTCTAGGCTGGGTTAAGGAGCAACTGGTGATTGGCGTAGGAAAATGAGGAAGACATTCCTGTAAGCCGTGTATGCATGGGAGACAAGCGCTGGCTGCTAGCATGGTCTTAATGTTCTGCTTTGCTGTGATATTTAATCAGACACAAGGCTGCTAGCATCCTGTCCCCCAAACATTCACAGGTAATTTTCTCTCCCTTCCCCTCATGTTATCTGAGACTGGGCCTTATTCTGTTGCCAAACTGACCTGAGATCATCACATCCGCTCCTCCCAGATGTTGACTACAGGGCCAGCTTCCCTCACTGCCCAGTTGTAATTCTCTATGCATGGAAAAGTTGTAAATGCTGCCACCTGTTGGCTGAGTGTGCACGTGCAGCCCATCCATGTTCACCATCCTGCCCAGGTGGCATCTCCCCGAGTTCTGGGCACTTCAGAAATAGACACTACCCAGGTCTCATAGGGTCTGTCAGCAACTGAGTTTAGTGGGGTAAGTGCCGCACTGGGTCCGCGGTTCTCTGGGCTCACCATTGTGAGTAGTAGCCTGTTAGACTCTGTCTGTCTTGCCCTCCTCTCCCTTTCTCCTCCCTCTTAGAACACAAGTTCTAAGTTTTGAGTCCAGGGTCTCACAGCCTCCCTCTTGCTGAGTTGCTCTCCACACCCCCCAGAAATGGCTTCTCTTAAATATGGGTTTTTCTTCTTCCCTCCCCCACCCCCAACAGGGTTTCTCTGTGTAATATTCCTGGTTGTCCTAGAACTCACACAGATCTCTGCTTCTGCCTTCCCAGCACTGGGATTAAAGGCGTGAGTTACTACCACGTGACTGATACGGATTTTTCTATTTGAAGATTTTTTATGGATCTTATTTTAACTTGGAATTTACATAGGGGTTCTTTTCAAAAGCCAATACCCTAACAATTCAGTCATTGATCCAGGAGTTTGAGTCCCATTCAGTTCCTAGGGTCAATCTCTAGAAGGGAACTGGGAGCAAATAGATATCAAATACTTGCTGTACAGATCAGAGAAACAAATGCATACATACATTTAATCTCCCCGCCTCTGTCTATATCTGCTGTGGTCCAGGTGCAGCCTGGGTTCAGATCCTGAGCTGGGGAAAGGGTGTCAGTGAAGAAGTGGAGTGCCTGTCCACCAGACGAGTTTCACACAAGCGAGACTGGCCCCGAATAGCTCCAGCCATCTTTACTCATACATCAGAAACAAGCATATTCTTCCATACTAACAAACACCGTTTTCCCCGTCCTCCAACATTAACCTCTGGCAAAAACAAATTTGCCACATACGTTTTTCCCAGCTTTTACATCAAAACATCTTTAAACCCAGAACAACGCTCATCATTTTGCTAGCTTGGCCAAACACTGAACCGGGTACATCCTGTCCTTTCAAAACTAAGGGTGATGAACACAGGCTCACATTTTCAAGAGCGATATTGTTCAAGGCATATTTACAGAAAATTGGGGGTGATCTGCTTCCGATCCTGTCAGCACTGAATCAGAACAGCTCCCCGGGGTCTGAAGTGACAGCTGGTACCCCCAGACATGAAACCTCAGCTCCCAAGGAATTTTGGGGAAAATATGCGAGATAAAGCTAGTTTCCAGAAACGATCATGTGTCCCATGCATGATTGACAAAATTACACTAAAACTGCCAAGATAATCATTAATATTACAAGAGAGAAGAGAGCACGCAGGCTGCATGGTCCCAGCAATATTCTGTGCTGTCCCGAAGGCCACTGGTTCATGCTGACTGAGACTGTCCCTGTCCGTGGGCTTTTGTCTCACCTGGAGACCCGCTGGGCAAGTCCTCATATGTTGACCAGAAACTAGACTGCACAGCCCCTAGCATCTATGAATGGCTCATTCACACAGACATTCTTGGTCAATAAGTCTTCACATTGTACTCTTTTTCAGCTTGTTCATTTCAAAATTGCATGTGCCGCCGCTAGTGGTTAAAGAGCCAGGTTCGCCGTGCTTTTCCCTCTCCAAATGCTTGGCAGCCTGCGATGTTAGAATTACATCCGAATGACTTGCTGTGCTCAGACCAGCTTGAGACAGCGATGTAGACCAGTTTGAAGAAGGCACCACCTACCACCTCCAGGCCCTAAGACCCTAGTCTGTACTCCTGTCTAGGTCTGAACCCTAAACCTGAATATCAAGCTGAGGCTAAGAATTCCATTTTGAAAATCTTGGAAGTAGTTGAAAGGCATTTTCAAAGCCTTGCCTTGTCTACTCAAAGCGACAGCCTGCTCTACAGTTCCCATGACAGAAGCTGTGGAGGCTCAGAGTGTTTCCAGGGCCTTTGGTCTAGGATACCACAGTTGTCCTGATGAGTCTCTTCAAGGTCTGCCCCTTCTAACCACTGTTGTTTAGTGGACATGAACTAAAAGACAGGCTAGCCTTCCCTGTCCCATAGCCACTTCCAGCGCTGTGACTGAGACTCATACTTTATTATGAAAAGAAAAAGGCAATGTCATGAGCCCAGATTTATATTTTGTTATTTTTCCACATTTAGAAAAGTATACAGACCTATAATTTTTGCAGCAAAGGACTAGTTACTTTTGCGATCGGGCTTAAAGATCGCCTCTCTATAAAGCCTTGACTGGCCTGAAACTTGCTGTATAGACCGTGCTAGCCTCAAAGTTCTGCCGATCCCAGTGTTGAGTTTAAAGGTGTGTTCTACCATGTTTAGTCAGGCTTAGATATTTTAGGTATTTTTTTTTTTTTCCTTTTTGAGACAGGGTCTCACTTATTTCCCAAACTGGCCTGGAATTCACGACCCTCTTGGTGTAGCCTCCCAAATATTGGAATCGTGAGAGTTTGCATCCATTTTCCTGGCATATTTCAAGTGCGCCATATGGGATTGTTAGGTTACACGGTGCAAAAAGTGCCAGGTGATTATCTGGGTAAAGGCGCCTGTTGATTCAGGATTTCAAAGACATGCCTGCAGTTACTTGTGGTAACAGACTGTAAGCTAAAAGGCCCCAGGTAGAAGTCTGTACTCTCCCTAGCGCAGAAGAAGAAATGAAGAAAGTGCAACTTGCTCAACAGCACATGGGGGTGGCTAAGGCAAAGCTTAGCCCCGGCTCGGCTAGGGGCTTTCGTTCAGTTCAGTGCAGTCTACTCTGAATCATGTGGCTCCTAGACCACGCATGTAATCTGGGCTATAAAAGAACATATTTACAGAGGTAGTCACAAGTTATTAGTTAGCTCCTTTTGGGTTGTGTGGATTTCATTATTCCCCATACTCAATGGATGGTGTCTTGCAATTGATCTTTTGTTTTGGCCCTTAGGATTCCCGAGGACGTTAGTACAGGCAGAAGCCTTGGACAGAATCTGTGATGTGGACCTAGTGATTAGTCTGAATATTCCTTTTGAGACACTTAAGGATCGTCTGAGCCAAAGATGGATTCACCCTTCTAGCGGGAGAGTCTATAACTTGGACTTCAACCCTCCTCAAGTGCTGGTAAGATAGACCGAGTGCTGGGTAGGGGACTTGAGTATCCTGTTCAGGGAAAGTAAAGTCTATGTGGCCAAGAAGCATAGACAAAGTTGAGATTGGGTCGCAGTCAGAGGGGAGAGCGAGGAGTAAAGGCTTAGCAAGGCCTGGGGAAAGGGCGTCCTCCTTTTTGTTTCATGATTTTTATTAAACCGTTAACATTTATTTATTTATCTTTTGGGCTAGGACTTTTTGAGACAGTGCTTCTCTGTGTAACAGGCGTGGCTGTCCTGGAACTCACAGAGATCTGCTTGCTTCTGCCTTCTGAGTGCTGGATTAAAGGTGTATGCTTTCACACCCAGCTATTGATGGTTATTGTTTGGTTGGTTGGTTGGTTGGTTGATTGATTGATTATTTGAGACAGGATCTCTTTTATGTAGGTATGGCTGTCCTGGATCTCACTTTGTAGACTAGACTGACCTCAGACTCAGTGCTGGGGCGATCCCTTGTAGAGCCACATGACAATGTGCATTTGTGGGAATGGCGCTTGTTTCAGTGTTTACAGTTGCTCAAAAAAAGCAAATAAAAGGAATGTTCATCTGTCGGACTGTGTCTGTGTGGTCTTAGGTTACAGAATTGGTCAAAAGAATGACTATAGAGTTTTCTCTGCCCTTCCGTGTTAGGGGTCAGAACCTCTGAGCCCCTGTGTACGCTTATTAAGAATCCTACCACAGAGGTACATACACCTCCATTTCCTGATTAACCCTCCCACCGACCATAGGTAGCCCAGGCTGCTTCTAACTCAAAGTTCTCTAGCCTTGGTCTTCCAAAGGCCTTAGAGATTCTGGGTGTGCATCCTATGTCTGGTTCAAGGTACTTGTGATGATCTTTCTGTTAATTTTTTTTTCTCTTGACTCCCTGATAATGACTGATTGAACTAATGCATGAATTCTGCCTGTTATCTGTAGACTGGATTAGGTAACATGGTATCAAATCTTTATATGGAAAAAACCTTGAATGCAGATGGAAACAGTGAAAAGCTACTTTAAGGTGGTATCACCACTGCTGGTCGCCATTGTGCCAATATTGCCCTTACTGGTGCCAGTTCATTTGAGATGAGCATTAGAGGACTCCACCCTAGCTAATTGGTTTGCCCATTCAGTCTTTCACTTATTCCTTAGACCCAGGTTCATTGTTTTGACTAGGCTGGTCCTAACCTTCTGAGTGGCTGGGTCGACAGTGTGCCATTGAAGCGTAACCCAAGATGTGGCGATAGGAAAATAAAAGGGGAGAGAAGAAAGGGGTTTGAAAGCGTAGACAGAAAAACAGAAGCCTATCTCAAAGGCTCCTCTGGCCATATTCAGACATGCTCATCAATTCTTACAATGTCTGAAAAGCTTTACTTACTAGAGTGTTACTTTCCAAAGCCCAACTCTACCTGAAAGAACCCCTGATTACAGTGAATGCTGTTTCCAGAGAGAGCTGTGGAAGTGAATGGCCAGCCCCACCAGCCACTGATAACCCCTCCCCTCCCCCACCCTCCCTGGGTGGGGTAGAGTGAGGTTGCTGCCCAGGTGTCCTTCTCTTTCTTCTGGAAGCAACGCTGTGTTTGCTGCTAATTTAAGCATTGTGGCCATCAGTAAAACAGATCAGTCACGGCCTCTGCGTTTCTGCCATGCTGACACTCCACCTGTGATAATGGTGTGTTGTCATGTGTCATCAGTGTGGGCCCCGGCTGCAGCAGGATTTCAGTGTGTTTTAAATTCCCGGGCGGCTTCTCATGGTCCATGAGAGTTGCCAGAGTCTTGTAGATCCTCCCTAGCCTGCCTTTGACAGATTCGCTCTGCAGCTTTCCCTAGAGAGGACTGCGTGGGCTTGAGCAGAATTCTGATGCTACTGCTGTGCTGTGTGTGGATCGCTGTGCTTCCTAGGGGATTCAAAGTACCAAAAAGGAGATTTGCTTGTATATCCCTGGCTCTTCTGGAGCTAACGATGTAGATCAGGTGGGCCCTGAACTTAGAGACAGAGCCACCTGCCTCTGCTAACATTAAAAGCATGTGCAACTACATCCACTGAAATTTTTATATATTTAAATGTCTCATTTCTTGTTCCTGATGGTCCTGGGTGTTTAAATTAGGCCTACTGATAAACCTCATGTTGATAAACCTCAGCATGTGCCATTGGTTTCAGAGACTGCTCCGCAGCAGTGTGAAAGCTGACAGAGATGATACAGAACCAATTTTTTTTCTGTTTTTGCCCCCTTTATCACAGTTACTTGTTTGTGTCCATGTTCATACAGATACATGCTTGTGCAGTGCACAGGTGTGGATGACTAAGGTCAGTTTGCAGGATTCTCCTTGTGGGTCCAGGTTCATGAAGCTGGACATCAAGCACCTTCACTTGTGAGCCACCTTGCTCGCTCCCCAGTTTGTCTTTAAGTCAGTTTCTCACACATACACCATAAGAAGCCAGAATTTAGAAGGAAAAAAAAAAAAACTAGTTTGGGGAACATTTAGTGGGGCCAGCATGGCATTATGTAGGTATGTTTAGGGAGGATTCCCAGAATTTAGACAGTGTTAAAAGTACCATTTAGCCGTAGCACTGGCACGTGTTTATAAAGATATGAATAGCCAAGGAAGATTTAGTGCTCTTCTCGGTACATGAGGCCAGCATAGCGTAGCCCCAGGCCCGGGGTTGTGGATGTGGATGGAGTCCCCTTTGATCATGTGGTCTTGTTCTGACCTTGGAAATGACCCGGTTGGCCTACTTACCTGGCTCCTCTGATGTTTTAGGGAGTTGATGACATCACTGGTGAGCCACTTGTCCAACAAGAAGATGATAAACCCGAGGCAGTCGCTGCGAAACTACGACGGTACAAGGATGCGGCAAAACCCGTCATCGAACTGTACAAGTGAGTGTGTGCCTAGTTTGTTCGTGGAAGGGTTGGGCCAGAAAGCCATCGGGCCTGATGGGAGGAGCATTGGGCTGAGCTAGGTAATGCTTCTTCCAGCTAGATGCCTGTGAAGGAGGTCTATACCCCCTAGAAGGTTTGGGAAGTAGTCGAGTGGTCCGTGGGAGGTGAGGCCCAGCACCTTTATTCAGGAACCTGTGAGACCATGAGGGCTTAAACCCAGTTATCTCTGTCTGTATTATGTCCGGACGTCTAATTTTGGGGGTGGGGGTGAGGAGGGCTGGGTGGGTTTTGGCAGCTGGAGTTGAGGCTTTACGAATACTACGCAGGTGTTCCATCTGTGTGCTTCAATGCGCCCCCCCCAACCCAGCCCTCATTGTCTTATTTAATTGCCTTAGATACTTTGACATTCTTTCATGTAAACACGCGAGCCAGGTAGACTAGGGTGACTGTCTAACTATAAACAGACCAGGGGGTGGTGCCTGCTTTACCCTCGGCTCTCTGCCTGCCCTGTGATGTTAAACACCCTAAACGATGTTGTACTTGGCTTGCCTTCCAGGAGCCGCGGAGTGCTCCACCAATTCTCCGGGACGGAGACGAACAAAATATGGCCCTATGTTTATACCCTTTTCTCAAACAAGATCACGCCGATTCAGTCCAAAGAAGCATACTGAGCCTGCCCTCGGAAGAACCCAGAAGACGTGGTCATTCATTCAGTCATGCGTGTAGCCCTGGTGCCCTGGCCACATTAGAAGCTAGCTGAGATAGCTTGCGTCCGTTTCAGTGAATGAAGTAATGAGGAAACACCTAGTGGGTAGAAAGCATCCACGAAGACACCCTCCTCCTGCCTTTGAAGAGAGAACACAGAGCTCTGCAGGGGCAACAGCGAGCCCAGGCTGGATTTCCACCCGTGTTGAGCCCGTACTCCAGATGGGTTGCAGCCATGCGCTGCTGTCGTGATCTGTTTGCACGCGATGGTGGTGGAATCTCTGGTTCGTGCCACCTTCCACAGGCTAGTGAACCACGGCGCTGTCAGCCTGAGAACTGTGGTCCTGGCTTGTCCTCCGCCGTACCCTCCTTGATGATAATTGAATTGATGCTAATTGCACTCAGCGACGGCTTCTCCACGGCGACTGCTCCACCCTCTGATCTCAGACATCCTAGTTTCTGCTGACTGTGTCCTCTCTCCTTTGCTCGCTCTCTTCATAAGCTGTTCGGTAACATGATAGTCCCCGCCTTTATCCCTCTAACCTCCTCTCTCTTCACACTGGGAACCAGGGGAACTGAGCCAGGCAGAGAGCTCACTTTGTGAAGCAGCTGCTCTGACTGTCTTGAACCCACTCTGTACCTTCTATTGTTTAAAAACGATTAAAAATGATTCCCTAAAGTTTTTGGGAATTCTCAAAAAAAAAAACAAAACCAACAAGGGAAATGTTCACTTAAGGAAATGTGGGACGATCGTCTCTTCTGCATAGAAGTAGTAATCACGTGGAAATCACTGGACTAATGAGATGGTTTCGGCTTCTTTATTCAAGGCAAGGTGAATATTGAATGTGCTGCTAATTATAATGCTGACAATGTTTTTTGTCTGAGTGATCCTGGCAGATGGCAAGAAGTCAGTTAAGGGAGCAAGCCTGTGGGCTTGGAGCCTCTTGCACTAGGCATCCAGTGCACCTGCACTGAGTAAGACGGCTTTGCCACTGTGGGAACGCAGAATCTTCTCGTTTTCTTCCTGTTCCAAAGATGCAGTCTATAGGTGGCCATGAAGTCCAGAAATGAAGATGCTAATATCTTGTCAATCATCATGTCAATAAAACATTTGTTTGAAAGACTTCCCTGGTTTCCAGACTTGTTGGCCACCTTGTATAATTCTTACTCTTCTCTGGGAAGAGAGGCGACATTTCTTCCTGCTGCCTTAAGGTGTCCTGCCCCCGCCTGTCCCCCAGGGAGTGTCCTTTCCTACTGGTGATTTAGTGTGACATCTCATAGTCTGTGGGGGCAGGGTGTGGGTGGGCATAGCACTTTAGTGGTGTTGACACATTACATTTGGAAGGTGTCTGTGGATCCCCGGTCCATTCACTGCGGTCTGTTCTGTGTACCGATGAGTCTGTCTTCCTTACTGTGCTGCCTGGACTCTGTGGCTCCTCTCAGTGTCCTCCCCTGTGCATGTTCTTCAGCTGTCTTGATGGAAATGCAGACCAGCATCCCTCCGCATGTTCTCGAGTGGAGACGCCTGGCTCGGGCCTGTGACCATGTGGGCGCTGTCAATGTTGATGCTGACTACTTTTGGAAGCTTGCATTTGGATGTCATTTGGTAGGGGTCAGGGGAGACATATAAAGTCCAAGGGAGGCAGGTCGGGCATGGGAAACTACTTGCTGTCTAGAGGAGGATCACCCTGAGATTAGTTCCACAAACCAAGGGAAGTAGAAACTGAAAGGAATTTGGGGTAACTCAGGAGGGGAGGAAATAACTTCCAACTTAATTTCTTCACCTCTTTTAAAGATTGGGGTGTGACCAGGTCGCTGCCTGCACACTCTGTTCTTCCGTCTTTTTTCTGTTTGCATTTCAAGCTCAGTAGTCTATGGTAGCTAGCACTGGGACACTAGGGGCCAGGAGTGTCTGTCTGCTGGTGAGACCAGGAAGAGGCAAAAATGTCTTTTCCAAGGTCTTTGCTGATTTTCACGTTCATTGGCCGAAAAAAGGACATCTGGTTTTCTGTACCAGACTTGCCTGTTCTTTTTTTTTAAATGACTTTGTCAAAAGAGCGTTAATACTGAAAATACCTTGACAGAGGTAGAATGAAAGAAGCATCTTGTCCTTCCCATCCGTGCATGCCTTTCCCTCAGATGGAAGCCAAGAGTCTGGGTAGTTTCTGAGATTCCAGACTGATCTTAATTCACAGGCTCCACCCAGCTCTTCATTCAGTTTGCCTCCCACCCCCCTTTTGCTTAGAGCTTGGGAAACCCTGTGTGTCAGTTCCTCTAGTATTATGACATAAAGGTGCTATGAAAGAGGCCTTCTGAGTGGATTGTGTACTCTCAGGGCCTCCATAAGCATCTTGGTGACTCTTCCCATGAAGTAGACACAACCAATCCTTCTGATGATCAAGGAGTCCAGGTTGGGAAGTCTTGCCCAGGCTCTTGATACAAGTGAACAGTACAGCTTTGACCCACTCCCAGGTTTTCCTGCTTCAGAAACCACAGATTTTTATTGGATGTTAGCTGTCTGTCTTGCCCTAAGCACCCCCCGCCCCCAGTTGTGCTTGTGGGTTCAGGAAGAGTGGCAGACATCATTGGAGTGGCTTAGGCAAAGGAACTTGCCAGAAGAGTCTTCTAATTACAAGGCTGGGTTTGGACCCAGGCTGACTGGCCTCAATTCAGGTATCTGAAGCCATGCATCCCATATGAAGAAAACCTACCATCTATTAAAACCTGAAAGGGATCCATAAGTGCTATTCCTAATTGTTGTGGTGAACTGCATAGTTCTTGGCAGAATAAATGTCATCACCTGTGCCTGGGCACTCCATGGTTTGGCCATTCTGTATGGAGTTGGGTGTGAAGGAGACAGGCTATGCTATTGGCCCAGATAACATCCATGTAGACTGTATCTCTAGTGACAGAAAGCTATAGGGAACACAAGTCTTGCAATAAAAGATCCTTGTCTCGAACTTTGGAAAGGATCATTACCTCTCTGGGATTAGAAGGGAAGAAAATTTTGTCTTTGTGGAAACTGCAAGCGATGTTCGGGCTCAAGGCTTTTCTACTTTTGTTAGAATTTGTACTACTGAATTCATTGTTTCTGAGGTGGGCAGGTCTCTGGGGGAATATGTTGCTATGATGGCATCTCACTGTGATCTCCCGAAGTTCAAGGCAGTCTTCTAGCCCAGTGCCACCTGTCTTCCCTTCACTGGCCTGTGAAAAACGGCTTAAGTTTTCCAGGAGCTGACAGGCCTGTTTTTCTTTAGTGTGACTGTTGATGTTCCTGATTTTGGCATATATGCTTAATTCAAAGTATCTGAATGTGTTCTGTATATGCTATCCTAACTATTCATTGTATTAATTGGTTTTTCTTTTTTGTTGTTATCTTGCTTGAAGATTGATTTGTATTCAATTTGCTAGAAATAAACGTTTTCCTGCTTGATGCAATCAATTCATTTAGTGTTTGTGGCTGTTTATGCACTAAAGTTTTCAGGAGTTTGCTCTTGGTTGTTTATGCCACATGATGGCTTTTCCATTAGCCACAGTTGCCCCTAATGTGTAAACAAGGCAAACAATGAATGTAACCTAAACCAAGTGGTGGTGGCAAGCCATGCTTCTTGTCCTGTTCGTTTTCCTGCTGTTGGCTTGTTAATGTTCCCGCATGTTCCTTGTTTGCCCTGCCCTTTACTCGTTAGTTTTTTGTTGTTGTTGTTGTTGTTGTTGTTTTTCCTTATTTATTTATTTAAAGAATTTCCACTTCCTCCCCTCCTCCCAATACCCTCCTGCTCCCCCACACTCCCTCTCCTCCTCCCTCCCTCACCATTCCCAAGAGTGGTCAGGGTTTCCTGCCCTGTGGAAAATCCAAGTTCTTCCCCCCTCCCTCCAGGTCCAGGAAAGTGAGCATCCAAACAGACCAGGATCCCAAAAAGCCAGTCCATGCAGACGAAACAAGACCCAGTGCCATTGTCAATGGCTTCTCAGTCAGCTCCCATGTCAGCCACAGAGAATCCGGTTTGATCACATGCTCGTTCAGTCCCAGTCCAGCTGGCCTTGGTGAGCTCTCATTCGCTCAGTCCCCTTGTATCAGTGGGTGAATGCACCCTTCACGGTCCTGACTTCCTTTTTCATGTTCTCCTTCCTTCTGCTCTTCATTTGGACCTTGGGGGCTCAGTCCAGTGCTCCAATGTGGGTCTCCATCTGTATCTCCATCCATCGTAAGATGAAGGTTCCCTCTGGTTCTGCCATCCTTGCTCACGATCTCCCTCCCCTGCTTCTCATTTGGACCTAGGGAGTTAAGTCCAGTGTTCCAATGTGTGTCTCTGTCTCTATCTCCATCCATCGCCAGATGAAGGTTCCCTCCATTGTATCTTCTGCTCGTTAGTTTTGTTTTTACAGAAGCTGAAGCCAGAGCCCTTTGTAATTGTTGTCTGGTGGGAGCTTGGGCCATGAAAGAAGTACCTACTGTCCTTTCACAACCCTGGTATGGCCTTCTCCTATGGGGGGCCTTCCAGTAACTGAAACTAGCTGGAAGCAAGTTCTAAACCCATGCATGTCCTTAGGAAGGGCAGGGGAAGGCCATCTGGATGGGATGTCTATGTGACAGGTTGTCAGATGCCTGAGACACCCACGCTCCCTCCTTGGTGGAGGAGTTCACAGCCCTTCTCTCTGGGCTTCTTCATCCTTGGACACTTGCCTCGCTGATGTCACTGAAGTAAGGGTAGACAAATTGTGCCACTTCGGAGCTGACAATGGAAGAGTCAGAAATCCTAGTGAGGTGAACAATGCCTTGGGACTCTTAAAAGGGAAAACTCAGAGCAAAGATGCACCCCGTCCATACTGGGTGAATAGTATCTGAAAATAAAATTGGTTTTTAAAAACTATAGAGACTTTAGTTTCTAAAATACTTGCTGCATTGCACTGACGTCAGAGGACAATGTGTGAGAACCAGTTCTCCCTTGCAGTGTGGGTCCTAGGGATCAAACTTGGGCGGTCAGGTTTGATGGCAAGCACTTTTACCTTTTGAGCCATCTTGCTGGCTCTGGGTTGGGTTTATTACTACTGCAGGATGACATAGCCTAAGAGGACTAAGGAAGCTGGGCCCAGGAGTGCGATTCGCCATCCAGTTGTTACTGATTTCTCTTGTCAAACTTCGTTAGATTCTAAGGATACAAATGTAAATACATTTTCACCCCTGACTTTCCCAGTCGTCTGGAGAACATGAGTGATTATAACCATTACAATTAACCCATTCATTTAAAGAACTCTTCGCTAAGGAGAAGCCAAGGGATGGTTCATGTTTGAGCTAAGTTTTGCCAGAAAGGACATCTAGGCAGCTGTGGTAGAGTGTGCAGGGAGGTTTGGGTGTGCACGACAGGCAGGGACCACCTGCGAGACAGGTGAGGCTGGCTGGGGAAAGCCTTGCACTTGGCTGGAGAGAGACAGGTAAGAATCCCTGCCAGAAATGATGTCCAATTTGCGTGGCAGAAAGTCACCCACCCCACCGCAGATCTGAACTGAGAAGTGACTTCAGTGAAGGGGATGATTAGATTAACAGGAGCAGAAAAAGGGAACCACTCCCAGGAGGAAGTGAGGAGCGAGATGAGAAAATGGGGGCGAGCATGAGACACAGTGGAATGATCTCTGACAAGAGGGAGCCACTGCTGCTAACCTGTTGCTGCCACTGCCCTCATGGGGCTTGTCATCACCCACTTGTTCACTTTCCCCAGATAGACCTGTAGTTCGTGCGTATTTGCCATTTCAGATTTTAACTGAAAATTAATTGGCCAAATAGCAGATCCTCGTGGGCCAATATCTTTAGAGAGGACAATAAAGGAACGAGAGTCGTCTTGGTGACTAGTTAGATGTGAGCATAGATGTGAATATCATGGGAGGTACGGTGGGCTGTCTGATGCCAGGCAGTGGGCCACGCATCAGTTACTCAGAATGACCCGAGACTGATGGATTTGGTCAAGCCTGTCCACTCGGTCAGTCAGTGGTTTAAGGGACTTCGCTGACCACCGCTCAGCTCTTCCTCTTTCTGACTCCCATTATCCTGATACTTTGGGTCTTGGTCAAGATGGTAAGAAATCAACTGACAAGGAACTAAACAATTAGGTTCTCTGTCAGGTTTCTCTCCTGGCCAGGGTCCTGGGGATAGTCCCTTTAAAAAGCCAGGAAAGCCTCCCATGGAGAGATTCTCTCATATCTGATCAGGTGCTGACATTCTCTATCCCAACATCTAAGGCCATGGATCTGGAGAGAACACAATTTCCCGACAAGGAGTAATCAGAAATAGAGATGGATGCCAAATCCAGCTTTATGAAGCTAGAGCAGCCACTGTGTCTGGAGATTGTCTATATATACCAACAGTGATTCATTGATTATAACACCATTAAGTAGACCATTTCAGATGACTCATGGTGACTGCAGGACAAACATAACCGTGGGTACATGGGTCATAGGTCCTTCCCACAATACTCTGAGAAGAAGGAAGGATAAAATTGCTTAGACCTGAGAAAACCATTTTCTCTATTTAAATTTCCCCCTTATTTTCTCATTTACTTGTTTTGATCTTTTTCCCTACAAACACACACACACAGCACACACACCATTATGTGTATTGTGAGCGGAGTTGGTCTTTTCCCCCCCCCCCCACCATTTGTGTTTCCAAAGATCAAGCTCACTTGGTAACAAGCACCTTGACTCTGAGTCATCTCACTGACCCTTGTCTTATCTGAAGGAAAAAAAAAATAGTTTCTTTAGTTTGAACCCAATACACTAGACCTATTATGTAATTTCCACATGAAAGTCTTGCCTAAAAATTAATATTGGTATGTACAATTTTTGGCAAGAAAATAAGGACTCTGAAAACAATAGCTACTTAAAATCTGAGTCCACACATCCTTAAAAAAATAAAGCCAACAAAAGCAGGATAAAATTGTATTTAACTCATATATAACTAGGACACAATACTGCAAATTTTTATTTGGATGGGGAAATAAATATCGGAGATCAGTACCAGCTCTGGAGCCTTTGTAGAAACAGATAGGATTTATATAAAAACCCATAGAACAAAGATTCCATGGAATCTAAGACACCAAACTTGCCCTAACATCACACCCAAAGATACTGTTCATTAAGAAGTGTATTTGAGGGACCTAGGGATGTAGCTTTGTTTGTAGCTTTGTTTCCATAGCATGTTCAAGGATCTGGTACCACATAGTTAGATCTGAAGTTAATGAACAGTACTAAAAAAAAATAAATATTTCAGTGCACCAACAGTAGAGGGTGCTGTTGAGTAAGGCTTCATCCTTGCAGTAGAAACACCTGGTGCAGGAAAGTCCAACATTTTGAACAAGCAGAAAAAATATCCACTAGGCACACATTAAAATGGATGTGTGTATGCACGCATGTGTGTGTAGGTGCCTCTGTTCAAATGTCGAAGTCTGAAGACAAGTCTGCAGGATTGTCTTAGAGTTCTCTTATTCTATCACGTGGGTGATTGAAATCAAACTTGAGCTTGGCAGCAAGTATTGTCTTTACCCCTGAGCCATCATTCCAAGACTCTACAAAATTATTTTTAAAAGGAAATAAATCTGGAGTCTAAAATAGGATTCCATAGCTAATAAAGACCATCCAAGACCCAACTTCAGAGCAGAAAGGAAACTGTAGTCCACCACTCCAATAACGAACCAGCCAGGGAAGCAACCATAGACAAAACACTATAAGTCAGAAGTGCAGTCCTGAGCAGGAGACAATAAAGAAGCTGTAAATGAGAGATGATACAGGAACACCAAGTGAGACAAAGGTCCTAAGAAGTAACTTACAAGGGGTTACGAGGGAGTCCAAATTCAACAAGGCATACAAAGAAGACATGGACATGGAAAACGAAAGCTCAGGAATAAAATAATAAAAAGGTGAAATGTTCAGAAAAAAACCCACAGCTATGGGGGATGGAGAAGACCCAACACACTTATAATCGGATTCTCCAGAAGAAGAAAAACCCATGAATCAAAACTAACATTCAAATTCATAATGCTGTATAGCTTATAAAAATAGGTTTAAAAGCTGGGCGGTGGTGGTACACATCTTTAATCCCAGCACTTGGGAGACAGAGGCAGGCGGAACTCTGAGTAAGAGGCCAGCCTAGTCTACAAAGTGAGTTGCAGGACATCCAGGACTGTTACACAAAGAAATCCTGTCTTGAAGAACAAAACTGGGCTGGAGAGATGGCTCACAGGTTAAGAGCACTGGTTGCTCTTCCAGAGGTCCTGAGTTCAATTCCCAGCAACCACATAGTGGCTCATAACCATCTGTAATGAGATCTGGTGCCCTCTTCTGACCTGCAGGAATACAAGCAAAACACTGTGTACATAATAAATATATCTTTTAAAAACAAACAAAAAATACGTTTAAAAACCCTGAGCCTATATATCACTTTATCTCAGAATG